TTCATTTTGAAGTCACCCATTTGACTTCCTTTAGCCAGTGACAGACATGGTACTGGGTGTGACACTGAAAGGCACCTCACACAGTTCCATTCCTCCCTGGCTCCCAGGCTGTGGCCACTATTACATTTTCAGGTTGGCTAACTGGAGTAAAAGCCAGCAAAAGTTTTTTCTGGAAAAGACCAGCTCATGAATATATTTGGTTTTGTGGGCCATGTGATCTCCTTTATAACTTCTCAACTACTCAATTCTGCCATTGTGGCATGAATCAGCTATAGAAAATATAAAAATAAGTGAACAGAGCTGTGACGCAAGACAGGATTATTTAGTTAAAAGGGGGGGCGACAAACAGCCCATGCAATGGATTCAGCCCAGAGGCCGTAGTTTGTGGGGAGCACAAGTTACATGGAGTAGAGTTGAATCACCCCAGTAGCTATAATTGAGAATCCTCTATATCAATGTGGTGTCAGCCAATTCCCAGAAACGTAGGAGCACCCAGCTGTACCACCAACAGAGCCACCAAGCCAACCTGTGACTTGTAGGAGACACAGAAGCCAACCCGGCCACGATGGTGTGTCACGAAGAATGACTGTGGCAGTTGTCTACTAATACAGTGGGTAAAGCATTAACCTTGCCATTTCAGAATTAAAGATGGGACTTCAAGCAGTTAAATGCCTTCTCTCAGGCAGCTGAATAGTCTCAGAGTCAAGACTCAGATCTGGGTGTGTTTCCAAACCAGTGTTCTATTCACTATACCAAATTGCTTCAGTCCTTTCGCTTTCTTTCCTTTACTTGGAGTGCTTTTGTGTACATATAGATCCAGGTATGGATGATTCAGGCTAAACTATGGAAAAACTTGGGGCAGTTTCTGCACTGATTGCTCTCCTAGCATTTAGCCATCGAAAATCACATTGCCTTTGCTTAAAGTTGGGAAGACTGTATTTAGGTTACTTAATGCTGATCTCTTTGTGATATATCAGAGTCTATACTGTCCTGGTTGGTATTTTCCAAAAACTCCAGTACAAGAAAATAACCTAAATGGCCTACTATTGCGCCCAGCTCCTATCTCTCCATTTTATGGCTCACATTTTATGCAAGGCTGTCAGGACTTTCTGAATGAAATGTGACTTAGGGCTGCACTCGCTGACTGAGGAGGCTCATAGGCCCTATAGCTCATCCACAATCTCGTGCTTGAGCTGTCAAGTATGAGAGATCGGTGCCAAATTCAACCCAACACAGCCCCTTCCCAGTAATCTGCCTTCCACAACTCCTCCTTGTCAAATCCAACAGTTTACATAGAATGTATAGTGAATAAAGTGCCCTGAAAGGTATGGGTGTAGAGGTGCTGCTTTGGCAGACCTATCAGCTTCCCACAGGGCTGACATTTCAGGTTGGCAGGGGGGAGATGGTCACAAGATTTTTGTGCTGTTGTCTCTAAATAGACTGTGGGGATTCCCATGGCAGAGCGCCACACTACTCATTTGATGCAACTATGCATCTCGAAAAGCTCTTTCTTTGTATTTATAAAGTAGTGGCCTCAGGTGAATAGTTCATAGAACCCAAGCAGGATTGCTTAGGACTGGTCCCGTCTGGATTAAAATGTAGTGTTTTGGTCCCCACACATTTCATGCCTTTATCTTCACTATCTGGAGAAACCTCTGGCCTTAGGATCATCACGTGTTAGCCCAGGAAGGTAGCTTTTAGCAACTGTTAGAGGCTTCAAGAGATATCTTTAATAATGAAGCACTAGAGGTTTTGCAATTGCCTTTGATACTTGACCTCCAAGCCAACTATAACACAGATACACCAAATCACTGGCTTTCTGGTTATTGAGACTCAGTAGGTGGCCTTCAGGTTTAAGATGAGAAAGGAAGCATGTTCAAGTCCCGGAAGTGACTAGCTAGTCAAGAAATGGAGGGAAAAAAGAATTCAAAGATACGCATTGAGGAATGTTGGCTAGACAAGGTTTCCTCAAACTTGTTTAAACCACAGTCTTTGCATGTAAATGAAAATCTCAAGACCCACCTCTATCTTTCAAAATGTACCAGCAAAGCATCAATGAATCACAAAAAGATTCTACTTCCTGTAATAGTCGATGAAAAAAACAGGGCTTTGTAACATACGTATTTCCTCTTGCCGCAGGAATTTTGATAAAGAACTTGTCCTCTTCCCATTCCCGTTTGAGAGTCACTAAACCTCCCCCCACAACACTCTCCTTTCTATTTTAGATGATGTCTCCATAGGAAGTACAGAAAAATATCTTCCAATTTCTGGAGAAGAATCTTTATTTACTTGTGTTAGAATTGTTTTAAGATAGATAAGGGAAAAGCAAGACATAAATAAAGGGAGATGGTGACCTTTGCAGAGTGTCATCTAATTTCTAAGCATCCAAAATGGTAGGTACTGCCGACAGTGATAATACTGTGTGTCTGTGTATAAAATGTGGATATTCAAAGATAAATAAAACACCATCTTTACTTTCAAAGACGTCTACATAAAGTGACAGAAACACAAATATATCAGTTATCTCCTTTGTATCAGTCAGTTTTCCATTGCTGTGCCAGATACATGAACAACTGTAAGTAGGAACAATTCTGGCTTTTCAACTCAGAGGTTGAATCCATGGTCATTTGGGCCTGTGGCCATACAGTTCATCATAGCAAGAGTACACAGCAAGAGAGACTGGTTAACTCTGGGCAGCTGGGAATGAGAAAGAGGGAGACAGGAAGGGGCTGAAGCCCCAATGTCCCCTTCAACGGTAATCCCTGAGGACCTAACTTATTTCCACTATGCTTTATCTCAAGATCCTACTACTCCCAATAGCACCACAAATTTATGTCCAGCCTTTAACACAGGGTTGTTGGGGATAGCTGTACAAACTATCATGTCTTTCGTAGATAATAGTGTTAATGCAAACTGTGAAATCCTCCGTGTTCCATCCCTGGCTAAAGCCACCTACCAGACAGATAACTCAGGGGACATTGCTGTGTGATTAGGTGGGGAATCCTTTGGGACAGGAGAGACTAGATCAGTAAATATTCACCTTAACTCACTCTTCTCCATAAAAACAGTTTAATTAGAAAATCCCTCAGTATCTAAAAGTACTCTTGTGACTGAAACTATGATTAGAAATCATTCTAATTTGTTTTACGACTCTTACTCAAATTTGAAAATTGAAACAGATAGTCCCTAAATTGTTTTTATTTTTCCTTATGCATATTCTGTGTGTGTAGTTTTTATACCTCTGGTAATAAAGTTTAAATGTTTTTTCCTAATAATTGTCTAGCAAGGGATATCAAATATTAATAGCTAAATAGGTATCCATTATAAAAACTAGTCCTGGGCCAAGGATTTAGCTCAGTGGCACTCCGCCTTCCTGGCAAGTACAAGGTCCTGAGTTCAATCCTCAGGTACTGGGGAAAAAAAGTAAAAAACCATAGTCCATTCTGCTTTTGCTCTGAGAATCATTGCCAGGGAAGAAAAAAAATTAAGAATATAATGAGAGAAGTAACAATGTTAAAGATATTCCCAAAAGCTAGGAAAAACTCAGCTAACTGAATCTTTATGGTTAAAACTATTCAAATTATTGACATATCAGGGATACTTAGTTGTTTAGAACATACTTTTTTCATATGCATCACACAAACAAATCTCATAAAAATTTGAGGAAAGTAGTAAATTAAAACTAAAGAATTAGATCTTCTCTTGCATGACAAACCTAAATGAACAATTCACAAAATCCACAAAAAGTATGACTTAAGAAATGTATATTTATAATTGAGAGGTACAAAGGAAAATTAGTGAATAAAGTAAATTGGATCGCATGTATAAGAAAAATATTGAGTTGTTGTTGTTGTTGTTGCTTGTTGTTGTTGTTTTTGTACTGGGGGGTCTAACTCATGGCCTTGCACTTGTCAGCCAGGCGCAGTGCCACTGAGGTATATCCCTGGCCCAAAATGTTTAAAGTTTCCCTTTCATTATAGAGACTTAAGTATACACAATTATATCCATTTGCATGGATTTATATGTGTTTATATGTTTATATATATTTTATGGATTCTTATTTTATATTTTACATTTTAATTTAGAAGCAATCTCAGCATCACTGGATGTTAAGTTTATTGGGTGAAAGTTTGTAGGGGGACAAAGTATACATACAGCTCCAACTTATTGTCCCAGTTATGATTACAAAGATAAAAAGAAATTTTATAGAGGACAGCCATCTTTCTCACATAAACATGAATGTGGCCATCTTTTCCACAATTGTAGAACAAATTAAGTTTGTGAGCTGAGGCAACAATGTATTATTATATTAATGTTACATTTCTTGAGTGCTATGATGGTCTTGTGGTTATTTGGAGATTTCTTTGTTTATAGGAGAAACATATCACCGCATTAAGGACAGAAGTATATGTGCAATTTGCTTTCAAATTGTTGAGGAAAAAATTTGAGTGAGAGCAAAAGCAAGTGTTCCCACATGCTAACACCATGGCGTCCAGATAAACAGTCTAGAGAGGGTCACTGCTCTATTTTTCAACTTTTCCATTAGTTTGACACTTTTAAAATGAAACAACTGGGAAAAACAAAATCAGACAAAATTATCCTTTAAATTCTTTATTTCCAAAACTTAGTTAAGCAGTATTGAAACATGTTTCCCACACTTAACAATCATTCTTTTTTATAGACTCACAATGTTACAAATTATAATATCATCAACATTCACAATGAAGTACTTAAGAATCAGACCAAAAACTTAAGTATTGTGTAAAATTTCTTATGCAAACATAAAACAAAAATAAAGGATGTCAGTGACATTGATCTTTAAAATGGGTTTCCCCAAATTTTTAATTTCTCTACTTTTCTCCTCCCTAAAACCCCCCACATATTCATTATATAGTATAATGAAAGTAGAGAACTCTTAAAAAAAAAAAAAAAAAAAAAAAAA